ATTATTTGATGAGGAAGGAAAAGGTGAAACGAGTCGAATATTACATCAATGGGTACATCGTAGCAATCATTTACGTCTGTTTTATGGAAGCATCACTTGGAAATACAATAAGTAATGCATTTTTATTTTTTTGTCGTTATTTTTGCTGCATTTGGTAATTAATTTACGCTCATTTTCGTTGCATGGCTATTAATCAACAAAAAAAAAAGCTTATTAAATGGATAAGAATGTCTGATACTTTTACATCGTTCATATATAAATGACGACATATTACCGTAATTGAGTTTGCGTCCGACAAAAAAATATGAAATATGCATGTATTATCGTGAAGAATTCAGCATATAGATAATTACAGCTTACTCAAAAATTTGATTATGAATAATTTAGATACGAAATTGATGATCAAAAAACAGCGCTAGCGATTATTAGAAAAGATTGTGCCGATTGGCCTCAAATGCAATTTCAATTAGCTTGCGCTTATGCCATCCAACATTTGCTGAATGAACGAAATTTCGACCGTATCAGATTGAAAGCATTTGCGTAAGAATAATATTACATTCCCATTCCATTTTTTATTCTATTTTACAGTTTCTTCTCAATTATTTCCTACAAATCTTCGAATGAAAAATTTCGTAATTCAATTTGTGATATGCATTTTATCTTTTAAAAATTTAATGCCTGAAATAAATTGCAAAAGGACGACGAAAAAAGTTAAATTATTCATATATTACGAATCATTGAAAAAAAAAAATGTTTGAAATAATACATTAGTTGCATTTACCGGATTAATTATCGTTTTTTTTTTCTTTGTTCCAGACAAAGAAGTTATCCATTTCCAGAAAAAAATTATCCGGACATTGTCTGTATGATTTTTGGTTTGCATTACTTGAAAGTACTCATGCATGGGAAAAAATGTTCAATTCCGATAATTTAGCACCAAAACAAACATTATCATTAGCTTTTCAATTTGCTATTGTACACGGTTATTGCGAGCTTGTTACATTTATATGGAATAATATCACGGATCCTCAAAGAGAATTTATTGGTATTTCTTAGTAAAATTTATCAAATACATTTTTCATTTTCGAGCTTACCGATTATGTTTTTTGATTCTTGAACAATGATCATAAAAAGTTTGAAAACAATTTTAAAAAAAAAAGAGACAGTTTATAGGATTATTGCAATGGCGAAAAGTATGTTTCAAAGCAAAAGACCGTGAAGTGTTGCATTTCCTGTGTGAACGGCTTTGTACAATCAATGCAACGAGTCTTGCACGAATTACGTGGAATACTTTTTATCAAACGCTTCAAAATTCACTTAAGGTTAATTAATTACCGATAACAATTCAACATTTTCTCCAATCAATTCGTTTTTTTTGAATGAAAATGAAAAGTGAAGACTAAATGTTAAAGTATAAGAAATGGATCTTTTCATTTGGAATGTTAATTTAGGCTATGTTTAGCAACCATAGTTTTTCATTTTATGATCAATTTAATTTTTTGACGATTCCCATGGATTTTTTCAATTCATATCATTGAGTATTAATGTTGGAAATTTTCATAATTCATCAACAATCAAACTTTTCGATTAATTCGAATATTTAGGAAGATAATATAAGATTTCGTGAGGATGGTATGCATAAATTAGCGTTTCTGTTGGAGAATACTTGTCCACGTCTTCGTAGTGCAATGCTTTCCATGGAAAACTTCAGGTTTGCAAAATTGAAATGATGAATTAAATTAGCTGACTGCAAGAATTTGCATGTGTAAGACAGAAATAGTAAATAATTGAAAAACGAAAGAAAAGAGGATAAGAATTAGCTGTGAAAGGAAATAATATACAAAGAAAAGATTATTTTTAAAAATTTAAATTTAAATTTTTCATGAATTCATTTCAGGGCAGTTACAGATGCATTCTTATATAATCAAACGGAGCTTTTTACTCTCTTTTTGGACTATCTTGAACCGGAACAATTACAGCTTACACGTAAATACATTGATCGTATTTATGATCGCAAAAAAAATAACGTATCACGAAAACAACTCCGAATATTGTTACATCGACAATAAACTCTAGCGCTAAGAAAAAGAAAAAATTCAATGGATGTTTCATAATCAAAACAATATTATATTTGCTAAAATTTAATTAAGGTGATTAAGGTAAAAGATATATTTGTTATATGATACTATGTATATTTCCTTATATTTCATATAGAATTCTGTTTAATGCACATTATATTTTGTATTTGTTTTTGTTTATATAACCTGTATTTATTTTGTACTATGTATATAATATACATGAATATTTGAAAATTTACCCACAAAAATCTGGATATAAGTGAAAACAAACAAATTAAAAGGCGTGAAATATGCTAACCAATCATAAATGACCATGCCTTAGTCATTTATTAAATATATAGTATATATATTAATATATCATATATTTAAAAGCAATAAGCACTGTTAATCTCACTGTATTATTGAAAACGTCAATTTAACATTCTGTTTTTCTGGCAAAATTTGAATATAAAAATCTGATGAAAGTATTGGAGTGAATGCAACTGGGGAGAAGGAAATAATGAAATATGACAAAGCAATAATTTTAGAGCCTTATCCTAACAAGTTTGTAGCATAATTTTTCCATTATATAAATCAGGCTAAATGCCTGGTAATTTCCACGTTGAAAAACATATAACGTAACAAAACTGCAGCGGATAAGGAAAATTCACTTCATATATTCCAAAAATCTGAATGTTCCAGGCCGATGTAGGAGATGCGTGAACGCTGTCCATTTCAACCGCATTAATAAGAATGTCAAGATGAAATCACATTTAAAATCCAACACGTAATTAAATAGCAGATGATCAAACAGCGGTATATACGTCCGAGAAAATCCAGGAATCAATTTCATATTTTTATGTGCGATAAAAAAGAACTGCATGTATTTAACTAACAATGATTGAAAAATACCTTTAACAGGAATGTTTTTCGGTTTATTCCAGCACAGAAAGAATTAAAACAGAAAAGCAAGCGCAACAATTGAACTATTTTGAGTAAGAAAGTCAGAGAAGTTGGTAACGAACTCAAAACATGAAACTCTGCAATAAATAATCGCAAAAGCATCAGTTAATAAATGTTGGATTAAAAGGCTGTATTTTGATAAACAGATAGCTTAACAGATCAATTGACAAGTGTTGACTGCATGAAAAAAAAAACACAGATAATGCATTTATAGAAATGATTAGGGAGAAGGTGGGGTATACCATAAAGATCAAGAACAGAAACTGGAATAATATCAGACATCAGAAATAAATCAAACCTTTTAAAGAGCGGGGAGAAATTAAAAAGGAAAGAAAGATGAAGAATGATATCGATAAAATGATCACTCCTGGTCTTCAAGTGAGAGATGCGTAATTTTAGTAAAATCAAATTCAGTGGTAGTACCACGCTGGAATATGTCTAATACATCTTTACAAGTTGTCTCAAAATGGGTTGTTGGATCGTACGAGCGCGAGATAAAGACTTGCGATTCAGCACCCATATCAATCGGTTCATAGACATCCGAGACATTTACAAATCTGAAAACTTCCTCCGTATGTTGATATATTTCAAAACTAGTAGTTCTACTTACATTCATAATTTGACAAGGCTTATTGATCATACATGAAAGATTTAAAAGACAAACTTCTCGGTAATTGGACCCAGTAGTTGTAGTCCTGGCAAAATCTCAGCTTCGGGATTATTTGTTTCCACAGTTGTTGAAACCATAACAATATACCACCCTTTAGGTGCCACCATATTTGCATTAGACACCAAAGAAATATAAATATCTGGAAGATGATTTAACGAATTCTACTATTCCGAAGAAAATATACAGCATTTTTGAGAAAAAGAACATGCAGAACATGGAGATACCGTAATGGCGTCCAACTTGCTTCTGTGGAATAATTATCTGGCAGCTTTGCGCATCGTTGGTGTTCGGTATTGGATGGTTTAGAAGACAAATGGCTCGAATTACTTGCCCAGTTTTCCTCACTTTATCAGGGACATATGATGGATCACAGTAGACCTGTAAGATATATTGATTTATTTGCCAGAATTTCATAAAAAGATGAAAATAGCCAACCATTACAAAACAATCATAACATACCTGCTTACACTTCGCAATGTCGTCTCCACTTTTTACGCCAACAACTTTTCCATTTTCATAAACGATACCGTCGACAGCTTTATCAAGCATGTATGTTCCTCCATAAATTGCACTCAATCTAAATTTCAGACTTTTCTTAAATAACGTCCCGATTATGATTTCCATAGATATAAAAGTATACCAAATAAAATGTTGTAAACAATCAAAAAATTTCATGCCGAGCAAATCCTTGTGGAAGTTCGCCAAGACCATAAAGGGGATACAGATATGGTGATTTTCCATATCGAGCTAACGAATCGGAATACAAACGAATCCTTTCAGCTGTTGGCACAAACAGTTCATTCTTGTAACTAAAAACTAAAGTTTAATAACAACTTCACAACAATCGAATCTAAAATATTCGCAAAAATTTTGTGCATGTAAAACTTACTTATCATCTCGATAGAGTGCCAATGCATGTCCAGTAAAATCCGCTGTATTTTCATCCAAACCAAATTTGTCATAAACCTGAAAAGAATTTCGAATATAAATTATGTTAACAGCAACAGCTTAATGCTTTATGATATACTATGAATTCAAAATTTCGAAACTCACTGCCATATCTTGATCCTCTTATTTCAAATCAGAAAGTAGAAGATTGACAAAACAGGTGTAGTGGATGACGGTTTAGAAATATCAATAACCACTAAGAAAGGCAGTATCGCATTTTACAAAGGATGAATTAAATATGACTGAAGGAACAGAAACAACCTGCTGCATCGTATTTATAGCAGGATCGAAACCCTCGTATGTAGCTTTGTTATTGATGTCGAAGTTTTGCACCCAGACGAGGAATTTTTTGAAACGTCTCTTTTCGAACATTCCCATCAAATCTGAAACAACGCATATTTTACTCCTCTTCAAAAAAGTGTGGCATGATAAAAGAAATCATAAGTTTACAGAGAAGTCTTTCTTCATTTTCTTTCCACAGAAAAAAATAAGGTACCAATTAAAGCAGATTAAAACGCACTTGTAGCTAAAGCTTCCATTTCATCTGCTGGAACTTTAAAAATTTTGCCCCCTTTGTATACATAGGAGCCTTCAATCGACTTGAATTCAAGATAGCGAGTCACGCCAGTGTGTATTAAAAGCTACAACAAAACGATATTGAAGAATGAAGACAAAATTAAAGAATCAAGTTGCAACTGTGAGTTATCATAACAAAATACTTTAAAACGGAACAAGAAAAAAACTTGGAGAATTAACCTTAACAAGTGATCCATTTGCCATCAGAAATTTAGGAATCAGATCAACATTCCAATCTCGACCTCTTCCCATATCCGTAGACGGTTTCGCATTCGGTCCTAAAAATTCTACCCATAAATGGATTACATATGCTTTTTTATATATGTATTTTAGAAGTTTCTACAAAAATTTGAAAAAAAGTCATGAAAAATTGTTTACCGAAAAACTTTTCATAAAGTTGTTCAAGTGGTGTTAACGAGGCTGATTCACCGCCATAATAATTGTTCCGATCAATGTGGAGTATCTTCTTGCCTGATACTGACAACATTCCAGACAGTATACATTCCTAAAAACTACCAGCTCTCAATTTCAAGTCGTTTTGCAACCATTCTTTCCTATATAAACGCTGACACTTGGAACTATGGTATTTTCAATTCTGCACAATTCGGGAATGAAATAAAAATAAAACAAGAGGTTGAAAATACCTTCAGTCCTGTACCAAGGACGATGGCATCGTATTCCTCATCCATGCTGCTTGCAAAATCAGTTCACCTGTAAACCAAATTTAAGGTATTACAGCAATTATCACATGAGAGCACATTACCTTAGCTAATATATCGTTATCCACAAGACATACAAAAATATCCGACAATCCAATTAACGTGGTAAAAATGACATTTAACCGTGCTAATTTATTACTTAATATTTGTCGAAAGTGATGCGAAACTTAAAAGTAGAACACTAGGGAAGATCTTATGAAAACTCGAGAAGAAAAATAATCCAAACGGTATGCAGTATTAAGAAAGATTTTTCAAAGAACTTCTACTCACTGCCGTAGATTAACTTAATCAGAAATAGCATAAAGATTCATCACCTCCCAGATTAAAAATGTTCTAATTTAAAATATTAGAAGCACTTTGGGAAACAAAAAAGAAAAATAATATCATTTGATGTTAAAAATGCTCCAGCTTCATAAAAATGTACAGGTAAGAGAGAAAAATCAAACAAATTGAAATTGAAACAAGCAACAAAGATTGTCCGATATTTCCACGGCAATTACAAATTTTAAATCAAATTGCAAACAATAGTATTTTTTATTTCTTATTACACATTGTCTGCTCACTGAAATTTAAATGATATTTCTAAACATTTCATATGAATAATAGCTGGAATTGTAGAGTTCATTTGTAACCGAATAAAAGAAATATCCAGTATTGGTAAAAGGACAGATGATTCCATAAATACAAAGATTCACGTCTTAAAATTTTTTAAACCTGAGCAGCCTGGGAACTTCCTGCCAGTTCTTTTCATTAGATCAAATCGAGGCTACTCATACCAGCATTTTCAAATAAAGCAATAGGATAGTACTAGCACTTAACAACAGCTTTTCCCTCTTTTCTCTTTATGACTTCACGAAGTAAACAAATCCATTTTGCTGGAAAACACATCGCAAGCAGAAAGTGTCGTAGTTAGTTTTTGATAGCAACTAAGGCATAATTTATCGATGTGTTCCGACTCCATGACCAATGGTTTGTAAGAGGATTGTAAATCATGCCATGTAATAAGCGCACGCTACAATCATTTTCTTCCAAAATCAATCGCAAAAATTTTGGTTCAATAAATTTCGACCAGTTATGCATACCACGTGGAACAATACCCAATACTCTCTGAAATCATTCAATTTGTCAACAATACTTCCAATAAAGCTGAATTCAAGAAAGTTCGCGAATCGATTACTAATTCTATCGCAAAAATCCAAAAAAAATTTGGTCAGGCCAAGCAAACTATCACTTTTTCCTCTTCTTTTTTCTTTCTTTTCTCTCTCTGAATGATGTTCATACTTTTAAATGGGAAAGCAGTTTAGTACAAAGCTAACCTCCGCCATCCAAATGGCCATTACTCGACTCGCGACAGTTTTATTGATGGTTGTAAAGAAGAGAGTACCGTTTCTGCGTACCAATTTGATGCATGATTCTACAAATAATTCCACATCGGCAACATGTTCGATTATTTCGGATGCGACAACTGCATCGAACACTAAAAAGAAGGAGGAAAAAAGTATTTTACTGACTTGTTATCAAACGTCACCTAAAAGTTCCTCTTCTGAAATTAATGTTGAACAGTATATGCCACTGAAGAGTGATTGGATATGATGTTTTTTTTCTTGCAGGACTAAGTATATTTGAAATAAAAAAAAGAGGTGAGTGAAATTAACAATTAGAAAAAAAATAAACTGGTACGAGCAAGCGAAGCAGTACCACAGAGATCTTGGATAGTGAAAATGAATTTTATTAATTTGCGTGCCTTACTTCCAGCATTTTTCGTGGCAAAATCTTCAACTGAAGAACACTTAAATGTTGCTTTGCCTGATCCACGATTTTCACGACGAAAACAATTTTCTGCCTCTTCTACCGAAGCAATTACATCAAAGCACGCATCCACAGCTTCAACGTTCGCTCCCAACCGTGCCATCGGAAAAGTTAATATTCCACCACCACATCCAACGTCAGCAATGTGTAAACCCGAAAGAGAATCCTAAAATATTAGAGTCCATGTTCGAAGAAATAAAGAGGTTGTAGCACTAGAATGAACATATAAGACTGCACAACACTTAGATCACGGAAAAAAATTGAATAATCAAAGTCAAAAAATTACATCGCCCCGTTTTGTTCTCCGACCAATCGTATCAACAATCAGCGGCAGTCGGAGCCGATTCATGGAATACAGTGCTTTAAAGGATCCATTTTCGTTTGTCCAATCGGGCGATAATTTTGCAAAAGCCTTGATATCACTGCGATCAACTGAAGTGTGTTGACACTGAAGATCCTTTGAACTGACACAAATGCGTCGCTTTGTTGAATTCAAGAGCAGGTAGTAGAGCTTACGTGTATAACATGCACCTTCCCCAAGCTCAGCAAACATCTGAAGTTTAATTTCAAGTTTCAGATTTTCTCAACTTGATAAAAAAAGTTTGAGACTGATAATCTAAGGTACTTTTTCCAATCGAGATGCTCAAAAAACCAAAAAGTGCAAAAATGGATATGAACCAATTAGCACAAGAAACCATGTATAATGTGATCAAATTTTTTAATATTCACAAGCATAAAACTGTCATCACAAAAATAGATGCACAATTAAATGAGCACGGTCGATCACTGATTAACAGTGGAACTAATTTTTGCTTCTAAGAAAAGTCGATAAGAAATCTTTCGGTTTCGCTTCAACATTTTCGCGGAAAAGGACGTTTCGTAGATGGTAAGAGTTATACCAAGTCTTTTGGCACGCCAACATTACCTGAAACAATATTTGTAAAAATTAATAATTTATCTAAGTTTGACACAACTTAAAGAACTGTTCCAATGCGCCTTGTTTGAATCCGGAACAACTTCATATTCCTAGACTGTCCTCCAGCTAAATAACTAGGTAATAAAAAATGACTACGAACTGTTGAAACTGTTAGAAGAACCAAAAATCCTAACATAAGTCTAATATTAATTGATGCAAAATGTTTTACCTGACGGCATTCAGCGATTTTCCGATCGATAACGCGAAGATCAGTCAAGTGTGCATTGTTAGTATATTGCTTTTTTAAAGCTGCCCGAAAAACAGACAGTGGCATATCCTCAAAATGAAATTCTTTGTAGAGTTTCGGTGCATAGCGTTGCCTGAAATAAACGAAAAGCTTAGACAGAAAAAGAAGTTCGATCTTTACTTGACTAAATAATTTCCAAACCAGTTAATGACCGTCATGTCCTGCTTGAAGCAAAAGGCCAAACAATGCAAAAAATCAATAAAAAATAATATGAAAAAAATTTGACAAATTGCTGCGTTATATCCATAATAACTTTGTATTTTTTCGTCAGAGAAAAAAAAATAGAACCATTTATAGAACGATCAACTTTGATTTTCAAAACAGGTCAAACTACCATCAATAATAGTTCAGCACCAGCAACATCCCTCTTTGCACACCGTTAATTACCAGATAAACAAGGTATTATCGTCCCATCGCTCTGCTACGAATAATACTTTTTTCATGAGCGAAAATTATATCTGCATTTTCTAATCGATGCTTTATGCTCAATGCACTTTCAATCGAAATGCAATATTATCATTACCAATTATAAAAGTAAAATTTCCTCAAATAAATTCTCCTCACTGTAAAAAAAATGATTTTTAAAAATTTCTAAAAAATTGGACGGAAGAGAGATCAGTGTTGAAATATGAATAATCTTCGATTTTTTTGCTTTTAGATTCATTCATATTTGCCTCGAAATCTAGCCACTTGTAGCAACCCTATCAATGATCAAATTATTGTTCTTATACCAAATAAAGTATATGTCATCAGCGCACAATATTTCCGAATATATGTATATATTGTATATAATAAACTGAGAATTAGTGACTGATTGATTGAAGGTCACGCACTTTCGAATATATTTTCTCATAAAGTTTTCTCACAAAGCTTTCCAATCACTCAAAAATCCGATATATATAATTGTTTTATATAAGTTTGGATCGACCTCATGCATAAAATCTACGTCGAACTATAAAACAGTGCTAATCCATATATCTAATATCAGAAAACGCGAAAAACGGAATCAAATTTGAAAGAAAAAAACTAATTATCTACGGCAATTAATAATGCACAGATGTGCCAATATACTGCAATAATGAAAAAATGATAGTAAGAGAAGGATATGGTGAAATATTCAGCAAGTAATAAAATGAAACGATTGTCATCTTCAGAGAGTCGGTCAATGTCACGACTATCTACAAATTACACACTCATAAGACGAACAGATCTGAGCCGATCAAATTTGTGTTTCATTGCAAAAGTAAAAAAAAAATCGAAAATAAGTCCTAAAAACAAAAGAAGAGAAGACTTACTTCAATCATAAACAAGGCTACTATTAACAACCGCATATTACCCATTTTCGCGATACATTCAAGCTTTAAAAGAACAGAGTAAGAAAAACTGAACAAAAAAAAAAACAAGCAAACATACATACATATATATGCAAACATAAAGGCTATCCTTCCTGAAAACAGATACTAGGCAGCAGCGGCAACATCCACAGTGATAGCATTTAGGGACTACATTTTCCGTCTCAAACATTAATATCCAAAATCGATTCAGCGTTTTTCGTCTAAGCCTGCATACATGTATAAATGCAAGGACGAGTCAAAGATAAAAATAACGATTACATTGTGACGACAAGAATGACTGCATTATTGCTACTATGCCTACTACTATTATTATCACCACGACCACTATACTACTGCTGTCGCAAACATTTCAACAACATCAAGTACTTCACCGGTTTCAAAAATGATGACGACATCCTTCCTTCTGCTATTCCATACCAGAAGGAGGGTGATGACAACGTTAAACTGAAACTTCGATAAGACATAAAGCAAGCAACAAAACATTTGCTAATGTCATTATTGTGCTTTCCCCACTTTTGCTAACGAATGTAACATGAAGCAATTATCGATGAGAACCAATCAACAAATACGAACATTGCTGAAACTAAATAGAATCGCAATGTTCTGAGTTTTAAAAATCCACTGATCTCCTTCAATTAGACATAATTAACTTCCCACTTATGGAATACTGGAGAACTACTTTGACGTATTCTGGGATACGTTACATGTGACCGTGCCACACAGATTGTCTAAACCCGTCTTTATTCCGAACTAATTTTCAACGAAAAAAAACATTAGTTAGCAAGATAAGGAAATATTTCAACTCATATACAAAGGCCTCCACTGCGGCAACAATTATTAATTATGAATAGTTTGAGAAACTGGCTAGATTATCAACGTATGACAAAAAGGAAATAAACACGTCTTCATTTTACATGAGAAAAAGAAAGACATTTTTTTTCTTTTTTTGTTGCTCGATCTAATAATATTTCCATTTTATTCATTTATTTTAATAAATAAACCGAAATAATTAATAAATTAGATGCCCAAAGCAAAAGCCTAAACTTATACATTTTTCCAATGAGAAACGTAATTTAGAACTAAAAACTATTTGAATCGAACATGATATTATAATAGGTCTTCAGTGGCTTTCTCTATTTTTTGCTGATTCAAACCAACCATGTCAACTAATACAATAATCCAGCCATTAAATGCAGAAAATTTTCAGCAGAATCATTATTTACCTATTGCTCGAGTGTGATCAATATCTCCATATGGCCATATATTCCTAATAAAGCTAACAGTATAACTGCCACACCAATCTATCCAACCTCCTAAGACTGCGACAGTGGTTTAACATCAATATTCCAAATTTTTTTTTGTAATGAAGATTCAGGTAAAATAAAAAATTTCAGTTTCAATAAAATACAAACTGATTTCTCCTATCTTGCATCACTCTGCTACTACACTTTATTTTCTTACTTTATTTACTACATTATTATTTTTTATTATTAATAGCCATCCGGATATCGCTACCATTTTTCTAAACATAACTGAGTAATATTTAATATTTGTTCACCTGAAAAATAACAAATTTCCTAAAACCCTGACACCATGAAGTAGCTCGTGTTATAGCAAGCACTTCAATGTAATTATAACAAGGCATGAAGTATTGTGAGGTTATATGCAACGGATAAGGTTAACAATGAACGACAGCTAGAAGTTTCAAGTCAAAAGAATGAATATCGATTGAGGAAACGTAACAATTTGCATGAAATGATAATCTAGCCTTATTTCAATAAATGACTGAAACGAACTAACATTTCTTTATATACAGCAAACACATTTGATCGGCTTTGTGCTTTATTGGCTGATACAATGGGAAAAACTTCACGTGTAGCCGCCGCAGCAGTTTTTATTACACCCGCTGCCATTTCTATTCAATTCAATGTTTCACCTCGCGATAACTGATAATTATACAATCAATCAGGAATAAACCTGACATGGTAAACTGGATTGCCCTCATGGATAATGCAGGAATCATCTATTTGAATAAAAAAAAATGGTGAAATTAAAAAGAAACAATTCTTTTTTATCATAAAGTTCAAGATGGAGACAAGGAATGAAATAAAGCAGTTAGTGCTACGCAAGTGGCCGTAAAATGCGAAGTAAGAACTCACTCTGGCTTCAAGAAATTCTACTTTTCGTTCCAGCAATGATACTTTATCACTTAGTGTTGCGATTCTATTCCGACAAGAGAGTTCTAAAAGTATGCATTTAATTTTCGCGATAAGCCATGTGATAAGCATTGATTCGTCATTTTTAATTGTAATAAAACGAAAACGTGAACAAATAACAATTCATTATTTTTTAAGGAGGCCTAAATCGAATGTCACCCCCTACTTCCATGATAAATAAGTCGAACATTTATTTCGTCGACATGATAAGATTTTTAGTTATTCACATAGTCTTATTTGTCCAGTGAATAAATTATGCCTATCGATGATCAAATAATAAACATCTACCAAAGTTGCAAAGGAAATCCGCGATATGTCGGATGTTGTCAGAAACCACTTGTGCGTACTCACGATTATTCCAATCTTCTCGTAATTGTCGCTGTACAAGGGTAACTTTTATATTACCTGCATTCATCCACCACCTTTAAATCCTCCTTTCTTTCAAATCTAAAAAGAACAAACTCCATAACTATGTAAAAATTCGATCAAGAATAGTAAATGTTCTAGAACTGAGCATCTTATATTCCTTCGATATTTGCAATAATTTCATCTCGAAATAATGTTCGTTTCTTAAACCATCTTCTACACTATCAGTTACCCTTAAACTCACGTTAGCGTCACAATCTGATTTTGACACCAACTTTTCATCTGAAACATCCTTCTTCAGAAATAACTTATATTTAATCAATTTTCTGCACACTTAGCACATCCACTACAAAAACACACGATCACATCTCCCGTGAAACAGCTACATTTCATGAGATTCATAAAACGGATTACACGATTACGGATTATACGGTCCAGAAACGGTTACACGTTAAAAAAAAAAAATCTGTGAAACAATCACAATCCGTGAAATTCGTGAAACGATCATGCGCCAGGAGCATGTAAACTCCGAGAACGAAAAATTTGTAGAGCTGCATCATTGTCACTTCTCGTATTTGCATTCATGTGTGCTAAGGTACATTGCGCCAATTCAAATTCTTCAAATGCTCAAAATCTCACTTTAATTTAATCAATTGTTGTCTGCAAAACGTATGACTTTTCTCTCTTCGACAGCAAAATATGATTGGTTAAAAAGGAATGTGATAGCGATCGGTTCCTTTTATAGTATTTTTTTTTTTTCATTTGGATTTGAGATTTTGCCCAATCTCAAAATGTCCCTATGAGTAAAATCTGAAAAAAAAGGAAGAACTTCACACGCTTGCATTTCACAAAAAAAAGTGAAATAGTTAAGAAATATTTTACAAGCAGTGTTTTCTTAGATTAATTTATAAATGTAGTTGGGTAACGAAATTGATCTTCCAAGCAATAAAGCAATCAAATTTTCAAAGCTGTATCTATTTTTACTTATTTTTTCATCGCCAATTTTGTAAAAATTTTCCAAAAAAAAATTTTTTTCCTGAAAAATTAAACATATGCTTCATTAATTACGATTTAATCAGAGTTACACGTACCACCAACACATTCAATAATCATAAATCAAGTATAAATTAAACTTTTATTTATTATTTTCAACTGAAATAACTTGAACTATTTCTAACAATTAATTAATATTCCCACTTCTCATTATTCAATTACTTTACCAATACTATTTCGTTTTATTCCGTGCAGTTTATATTATTCCCCCTTCATCTTCTATCTCTCCGTTCATATTACATCTATTTTTCCTCTTTTCACACATTGCTCCTACTACACTGCGTTATTTTTCTAAGCTTTTCTCCTTTCCCCTTTTTCTCATCAAGCAAACTCTTAGCGGTATGCTTTCTCGCGAATTCTTCCAATCTTCATATCTCTCTTTCATTTGTTAAGTTCTCAATCTCTAACCTGTTATATGCTTCCAAATCTTATCAATCTCTAAACTTCCGATAAAACACAATATTTTCCACTCGATTTAATTGACGGCTGATGAAATGAAACGTCATGAACTGGTTCGGACCAACCAGGAACATAGAAGAAAGTATGAGGGCTTTTTTTTTCTGACAAAAATTACTTCCACATAATGTCCACTAAATGTTTCGAAACTTCGCTGATCGTCCGAGTTCGTATTTTGGATTGCAATATCAGAATTAGATATATTCTGATATACAGGTGCTTTCCGCTAGGCCTAAACCTATAATCGATTTTTCATTCCTAGAATTGTTAACCAAAGTATCTCTACTGTATTTTCCTTTCCCATTTTGATTAAAGTTACGTGTTTGTTCGAATTATTTTCATACTAATTAATGGAAGAATACTTGGTAGCCCAGAATTGTTAGGAACAATCGATTTGGAGAATTTCTACCGAATGATGTTGTTACTGTTGCTGATTAGCATTACCAATGTTTTCACCGTTATCCATGCCGAATTACTCGAAGGTCTCTATTGTGGAATTGAAAGCTGCTATGAAGGTTAACTTTTATCCAATTCCCTCGGTTTTATTTCTCTCTGTTAGCTGAGTCATAACAGGTGCTAACAGCTTGGTTATTTAGGGATTTTTTTATATCAATCCATTTTTTACCAGCACACCAAAGAATCCTAGAACAAGATACTTGACTGCGTGGATTAAGCTTGATAAAGTGAATACTTGGAATTCCTCTGCAATCATCTCCTTCTATTGGCCTTGGAATCCTCATAATGTTAACCACCCGTTGAACCATTCCGTTTAATAAGTTTGTTGCTTAGGTTAATACTTTCATTAATACTTTATTCTATATAATTCAATCCAAGCAGTTTTCCTTCTCTCTTTCAGTTCTAAATATTCATCGTTCGGAATTCAATAAGGTTTGTCTTTTTAATGCTTTTTCTAGTTTTCCTATTCTCCTAAATTATTGCTTCTTTTCAGAATCTTCACTTTATTCTTTTGCAATAAGATTTTAAGTTACAGAAGGAAACTATGGTTACTTTAATAATTGATAACTTAACATCAACACATGTAAATGATGTGAAGTGGAGAGTTTCTTGTTGTTATGGAATGCTTGTTTCAGAATGTATTAGGAAGAACGTATCGGAAATTGGCAGCGCAGTATCATCCTGACAGAGTTCCTAATGTAAGTAGTTTCAGAGCAGAAGTTTGAATTTTCGTGTTTATCATTCACTGAACAATTAATAATGATCACAAAATCACTTTGTCTACAACAGTAGCATTAAAATTTTCAGGTTAAGAAAAAAGAAGCAGAAGAAAATTTTCGTCGAATTGCGACAGCTTATGAAACTTTGAAGGATGATGAAACAAGAGCTGATTATGACTATTATTTGGATCATCCGGAGCAACGAGCATATAACTATTATCAGTATTATCGCAGACGGGTAGCTCCAAAAGTGGATGCACGAATTGTTGTTGTAGTTATTTTGATACTTATATCTGTCATTCAGGTATACTTTAATAATAATTTCTTTTTCAAGCTACGAACAGTTAAATGAACAAAATTAACGGAGGCTTATTTACTGGAGTAGTGTTTTTTTTCATTGTCGCATTTCTGACTTTCCACGTTTCAGATTTTTTAGATGACATTTAATGATCATGTAAGTTTATATTTTTGTCATAATTAGCATCCTAATGTAAATTTACATATTTCAGTTTCTAAGTGCGGCACAAAAACATAAGGAAGCACTTGATTATGCAGTGAAACAGGAAAAATATCGTAATGCGGCTAAAGAGATTGCTAAAGAAAGAGGAATTTCACTGGAAGGCGACTTTCGCACTAAAAAATCCCGGAGGGAATATGCTGAACAGGTCTTGCGAAAGATTATTGAAGAAAATGTGGATATCAGGTAAATTTTAAAGGTCACGGCTTCTATTATGGTTCCCCCGCGATAACAGCCCCAGCATTTACTGTTCAAGATCACATGGTTTTCTTTATGAGCGTTTTATCTTTTTTGGGATCGATTTCTGTAGAGAAACTTAGTTATGTAGCATATTGTTATAGGTTGCTTTCAACGAATCACATTTCAAGATATACTCCACTGAACGATTTTCCGGTTGTAGGGGTGGATATAAGAAGCCGTCGATATACAATACATTGCTGTGGAGAACTATTGTGTTGCCTTATACGATATACAGGTAATTTTCGCGTATTTGTTCATTTTAACTATGAAATGCACAATCCTGCCTTGGGTTATACTGAATTAGAGATGTCTCATGCAACTTAAAAATTCTGATGTTATCGCTAAAAATGACCGCAGTTTCAAATAAGTTTGTTCGGTAAAATCCCCCGTCCTCTTGAATTTTGGCTTTTATGTTCGTCTGTCCGTGCAAAAATTTGAAGATTAATGACATTGGCAGAGGTACTTAAGATATGGTGCGTGGAACTTTTTATGGTTCGTAAAATATCACGTGAAAAAAGAAGATTACGATGACGATGCGAAATTTTATTTGATACGAAAAAATTTAAGTCTTTCTGAAGAACAGTTTGCGGTAAGCCATTCTCATGTGAAATATTTATTATTTAACCTTTACACCTATTGGAATTTTGCTGATAGTATATTACAGGTCTGTTATAGTGATATTTCAGAGTTTCGACGATAGTGAACGATTATCTTTGCTCGAAAATGAGTTATGGGATAGAGTGAAATTCGCGGAGTGGAAGGCTGCAAAGGAAGATGAACAAAAGGAACGTCTGGCTGCTAGTAGTCGTTACAAACGGTACCGAAGGTACGTGAAGAATCAAAACGGTCTTCCCCTTAGTTTTATGGAATGAAAAAAAAATGGAAGTGTCATTACTGTTCTTTCCATGTATGTAACGAAAAACAGATAAAATAAAGCTAATGTTAACAAAGGTGCAGCTTTGATATATTGTAATCGTTTGCGCGAAAGTGCATATACATATGTTCTGGACATCGGTTATGTATTTGTGCTGTGTGTGTGTGCCGTACAATAAAATAAATCCAAATAAAAAAACCTTACTGCCTAATAAAAGATAGCAGAACTTACCGATCATCGGCATCACCATACAATACAATTACATTAAAAAAATAAAAAAAAAACAATGAAGGAGAGGGAAAAACAATGCAATGTATTGATCAATCACAATTCCAAGTGCTAATCGTTTCAGTTAGCTTTTTGGCAAAGCGCAATCAATAGCATTAATTCCCATTTTTTTCTTCTGCATACGAACAACAAATTTTGACGTGATGAGAGGAAATAGGACGCTGAAAACAGAAATTTCATTGGCAAAAACCGGTGAGTAAAACCTTAGGAAGCTGTAGTATATTTACCTCATACAGCTTCAATTTTTTTCAGCAGAAAGGAGGAAAAGTAAAAATATCACACTTCGGACAGTAAACTTACTTGTCAATCTCCCATCCTACGGCACAATTGTGAGTACCGCAACCAAGGATGAAATCCATAAAATCCGCTTCCAAGTCTTTCAAGATAGAAGATTCAAAGCCTGAGCTCCCTGACCCCCTCCTCCACTTTAAAAGATTGCAATAATAAAATCCTATCTCAAATTAAAAGTAATTAAAAGCGAAGATGTCGGCATAACTGCGTGAAATATTAAGCACACAGGAAAAAAATTGCCAAAGACCGCAGCAATTGCTGAAACTTTGAAGGAGGTGTGGACGAAAAGTTGGACGAAAAGTTCGGGGGAGTGCCAACGAAAAGTATCAACGGAAGTGCCAAAAACGTACAGTATATGAAGGCTTCACAATCTTTTTTTCATGAGCAAGAAAACACTACCCACCTGCTTCCAGGACTAACCTTTAAATTAAAACTGAGTGGCACGGTCGGAAACTGTCGTTTCAGTTCTTTCTACTCCACAACGCAGAGCTTATGATGAATTTATGCAAAGAAACTATGTAGGATATCAAGTAACCTACTTATAAACTATTAAAAACTACCTTGAAACTTATCGCACAAAGTAGTCAATGATCAGCTACATCCTGAAAAAGAGAGAAAAAACTTACCTTACGAAAAATTTGAATCCACTCTTAACTAGATAAATCCCTTGCAAAATGCCAATCGTTCCTCCTAAAAAAACAATGTGTTATCCAGGAATATAAATTTAATCCAGAAAAGATGAACTTATTTTAAGAATCCTGCACAATTCAATAAGAATAATCCTTAAATGCTTTAAATTTATATTAAATAACATACCAAAGATATGTCTTCGTCAGGATGCATGATGTGTATTTTTGCCCCCAGTCTTTGGATTTGATTGGGTATTTCCCGGATCCGTTCCGGTTCTGCAGTTTTACTAGAAGAAGGATCACTATAGGCTGGGAAAGCTGCTGGTACAGAAGGTGTAGGCTGTGCACTGATTGTTCCCGGACCAGGAATTCCTGGCATTCCCATCGGGCCATTTGGTATTGGTACCCGAGGTGGTAAATTCATGCTGCAACAAAATCGCAGTTATTTACTAAAATATTTTCAAAGACATATGAACTAACGGAGCAGCTAGTACATCACCTCATTCAATTTTGTTTTTTTTTCAATTTCTGAATATAAGATTACTCATTATGGCAAGAAAGAATTAGGACCGATAATCAAGAAATACGGTGTTATTGTATATTAAGCATTATATCAATGCTATCTTCTACCTTACTCTTCCTACCACCTAATATACAACACAAAATTGCGGCAAATTCCTCTGCAACATATCATATGCTAGATTATCAAAATCTACGAACTGCAAAGACTTTAACTGTGAATGGCTAAAACTGAACTCTAACTTTAACTGTTTTTTAGCAATCTCTTCCATTTAAATATAATTTATCTGCCGTAATTTATTGCTACATAGCTAAGATATTACTAATTCTGCACCGATGTAAAATATTTGCTGAAGGCTACTTGAAAGTAAAAAATAGGAACCTTGTGAGTGCAGGTTGGGCACCACCTGGAGGTACAACTGGAAGTGGCGGAAGAGCTCTTGGTGGTGTCGGTACTCCTGGCATAAACGGCGGCCCAAACGGAGGAATTCCTGAAGGTGGAAGAGGTGGAAAACCGGGAATCATAGGCGGTATACCTGAAATACATCATGGATTTTCAAAATACAAAAAAAAATCCAGAAAATCGACCAATATATGAAGTTATTTTCGATTGCTATTTGAAATTCTCGAATTTTACGAGATTTGCAAAAAAATTAATATGATAAAAAAATGAATTTACCTGGAGGTAGCATTGGAAATGGAGTTACTAGAGGAGGCACCGGAGCAGTTGTATTCTTCGTCTCTTTCTTTGTACTTTCCTCTGCAAGAAATAAGGTCAATATATTTGAGAAAAAAACCAAAGCGAAAAGTTATAGATGCATAAACTTGCACACTTGTAAGAAAATTAAAAATTTCAAAACCTTGAGCATCATCGGGAATACCTTCCATACCATAAACTTCTACTTCAACTGAATCTTTACCGGGTAAGGCAGCAGGTATCTTATCTATCGTTTCTTTGTGCACCTTAAAAAATAAGTAAGTTTGAGAAAGGTGAACCAAATAAGTTCCAAACGACAAGATAGCAAGAAAAGCTTAACATAAAAAACAATGTTTAGTGTAAATTAGCCAAATGAAAGAGATACCTGCATGCAATGAATGGCCAGGCCCGGGCCTGTGAAAAGCTTCTTGTGACAGATATGACATTTAAAATGTTTTGCTTTTTGGTGTTGAATTAAAATTTTTTCATCCTCGAATTCACGATTACAGTACCTGCAATGAAGTAGACATGATTCTTATCTATTTAATAGTGAATCGAACTATCTGAGTCAACCGATATTTCAACAAAAAGATTTGAAGCAGTCATGCGACTTAATACCGTATTTATTGTATGTAAATTTCTGAAAAGATTCATTAACCTCATCGTCAAAATAGTCTGACAGATCAAAGCTCTAATGGGCTTTAAACTTTTCGCAGTCGAATTCTCCTTGTAATTGAGTCTCAGCAGACACTATGTCGAATCTTATTACTTATACATTAGTTTACTTGACTACCAATTTAACATCTAGTTACTTTACTTCCTTCCTAACCATCTACTCATGCTTCCGACTTGTACCTGTAAATTTGAAAACAAATAAAAGAGGAGAAGAGAGTGTCTCATTATGTGATAATCTCTTTATGCAAACAATGAAATTTGAAAATTAATTAAAACCCCACTTGGGAAGAAAACACAACTGAAATCAGCAATCAACACAAACAACGACTGTAACAACTGATGTACTATTTTAAGCAAAACAGTCCTGATAAGCCTTCGTTCTTTCAGAGGAAAAAAAAGCTAATGTTTTGGATTCCTCCATAAATTGTTAAAATAGCTTACCAACACCAGGGTTTCGCAACACGCTTTTTCTTTCGACCCATATTTTCCGCAGTAAGCAGTTAACACCCGAAAAAAAAAGAACGGCTCTTCAAAAAAAATTACCCTTTCCGAAGAGTTAAAGGAATATCCTGAAATTAAATTGAATTCCATGGAAGAAAAAGTACACTTTTTGGGTGATTTAGAAACGACAATACAATTTTAGATTCGTCGACATTCCAAAAATTTTTCCACTATCGGCTGATAGTGGAAAAATTTTTAGGATGTTGACAACATTTGAATTTTTTTTCTATTCACGTAAAACTGAGTCATTTGCTTCAATTACTCTTGACATTAGCACGAGATAAGGTAATGCACACAACTGTACTGCGCATAGCCTAAACTCTCAAATGGAGTGATAAAAAGAGTACCATAAGGTACTTCACTTACGCCAACTATTTCAAGGAACGAGTAAGCAGTAATTCGCGGTCTTCCACACATATCAAAGAAAGTACAATTTGCTACAGGTAACTGTCGCCCAAAATGTTAACTTTAATTACTTACCAGTCCTTGGGCACATTATATTTTGCAAACCCCATCAATCTCTACCATCTCTTCAGTTACGCCATCTCTTTTTACTTTCAATTATCTCTTCCTCCTAATCTTTGAAACTTTGTAAGCTCTCTCGTTGATCCTTCCGCTTTCTGTCTTCTCGCAAATCTCTCAGCTATTTCACACACATCACCTAAGATTTCCATAATTCTTAAATCTTCAACATAACCATACTATCTCCCTTGTTCTGAATCAGCTGAAAATCGATATGCTACTATATATGGTACCACAAATGAGACATTATGAAAATTATTTTGAATCTGAAGAGGGGAGAATTGTGTTTACACTGTGTATATGGGTAGCTTGTTTTGCGTGTCGCTGTATAAGAATGGGTGACGTCGTAAGCGGACGTGTTATCTCTTTATTCTAATCAGTTCAGAAGTTTCTTAATTTATTTTGCTTTGTAATAGCTGGCAGTCACAGATTAGTTCTTTAAAAAAGCAATTTGACTTATGTAGTTTTCACCTACAAATACGGACCTTAAAACTTCTTGGCCACTTGTTTTTTGGGTATCCTATTATGTCGCGTTTCAACACTACTCACCGCTGTCATTAATCTAATGCAAGATACTGAGGTCAGATTTTCTGATTGATGTTGGGCTCGCAACTGAAAGATACCGAGCTCAAAATTTGTATCAAAAGTTTAGTTAAATTGGGACTTCAATCAGTAATTCAGTAAAGAGTTTGGTGCATGCAACAATTCCGATCCAGCCACATGTTTTTATTTCTGATTTAAGAAGTTTAGTCCGCAAAATGAATTACAAAAGTTTAAATGATTGATTGACAGAATAATTAATTAAATGGCTAAACCAAGAACAGAGTAATGGTTGTCAAGTAAGTAGTTAGCGTTTAATAGGTGATAAGCTAACAAGTATTTAAATAGTCATTTCTGTGTACTACTTGAAGGAAATGCGCATTAACGTTAAGAAAATTATTGAACGTTAACACAACAAACCATAAACTTATTGAGCATTCATTATGCGGTCTTAAGTCTAATTTTTTGTCACAAGCACCATAGTAATGATGATTTTAAAATTTTGCAGTATGACAAATAATGCTGTGTCATCGACCGTTATTGCTTTATTGGATCGAGCTAAAGCAAAATATGTGGATACAGCGAAGAATGATATACTTTCAGCTCTAAGCGGCTTTCCTGATCTCACACCGGACGTTGAATATTTCGTTTATCCGGACAGGACACATACGCTTGCATTTCGTTTGAAGGGCACCATTCCTGTTCTTTATAAGGTGTGTTTTTATAATGACTTAAAATTATTGCTGTTTATACTGAAAGATTGATCGTTTTTATTATCACGATGTGCTTTTGTTTTGTACATACATTCTGATATTGTACTTCCTAATATGGTTTTTCAATCTTTCTCATTATTTATGTACATTTAATAGAAGTTTTGTTGTTCAAATTTCCATTTTTAGAGTTGTTTTTGTCATAATGAGATTTTGTGTAAAAAAAATTTTTTGTCAGGGTAATACATACAATATACCGGTAGCGTTGTATCTCTGGGATACTCATCCTTATTATGCGCCAGTATGTTACGTTTGTCCAACGCCAAATATGATGCTGAAGGAATCAAAAACGGTGGATAAGCAGGGACGCATCTATTTGCCATATCTTAGTGATTGGTCTTTTCCAGGATATGATTTAAGTGGTTTATTACAGGTAATTTTTTCACTTGCGACAGTAAATTGTTTAATAAAGAAAGAAACCATCTCATATTAGGAAGTTTACGAGATTTGCATTTTTCAAGGTTATGTCGATGTGCTTTCAAGACTCTTGTCCAGTTTTCGCGAAGCCCAACAGTTCACGTCTGTCAGGAGCAGGATCAACATCTGCTGGTCAGATTCAAAGTTACACGCCTTATCCAACGTCTAATGCTCCTGGAATGCCACCATATCCAACGACTCCTACTTCTTATTATCCTTCGATGCCACGTGGTAATGCTGGTAGTGGCACAGTTCAACCGGAACACCTAAAGGCGTCCGTGATGAGCGCTGTTGAACACAAAATTAGGCAACGTCTTCGTGAAAAATTAGGTATTCTTTCGTTTTTTATCTGTATCTATCCCCTTTCTTGCATTGAATTGTAGCAAATCCTCTTTGAAATCGCTGTTCACTTTTTGAATTGCAATCAAACTGTGCCTTCAGAATTTTTGAATTTAAAATGTTGTTCTTCTCTACTTAGATTTTGCAGTGGAATGTCTAAGTGAAGCGTTTTAGGAATAATGCATGCGGAATTAGCTTCAATCAGACAAACTCATGCAGATCTACGTGCCGGTCAGCAAAAACTAAAAACTATTGTAGACGATTTAGCGCAAGAGCAGAAACGGATGGAGGACGCGCTGGTTGCGTATCAGGTGCTTATGTCATTCATATAATTTCGTCTCTGATTTCAGAACTTGCCGAATCTTTATTTGTTGTTTGGTCCTAAGAATAGCTTTGATTTTCAGGAAAAGAAAGCCGAAATTAGCTCTCTCCTTTCAACATCATCGCCGGAAAAAAGTGTTGAAATTGACCATGTAATTGATGCTTGTACACCTTTGCACAGGCAGGTCAGAATCAATTTTTATTATGAATTTTCTTCAAAAGCTTCAAATCTTTATTAAAGTGAAAAATGCTGAATGGAAAATTAATTTCCCGGCGTTAATAGCAGGAAAAATATCAAAATGGAATTTTGAATTAGAATAAGGGACAATTTCTAGAAATGTTGTCAGTGGAAATTTCTGTTTTTTGTCCCTTCATTTCGTTGCAAATCTTAATTTGCTGAATGTAATCTCTAATTTAATTGTTGATGATGCATTTATAAACCTGTTGCAGTTACTTCGTTGTTACGTTTATGATTGTGCTATCGATGATGCTATCTATTTCCTTGGTCAAGCGCTAAGTCGTGGTCGTATCAGTTTAACAAATTATTTGAAAGAAGTACGCCAGCTTTCACGTCGGCAGTTTATTTATCGTGCAACACTTCAGAAATGCCGTATTAAGGCGAAAATGCCAATATAAAACATATTTTTTTAATATTGTTCAACGTAATGTTTTTTTTCCCCTTTGATACCGAAATACTTTCATTGTGAAGGAGGGAAAAAAAGCCTATTCTTCTGAGCAAATTTTAGATTAATTGATTGATTAATTAACTTATACTAAAGCGACTTCTTTCATAATCATGGTTTTCATTCGTGTATCTATGCTGTGCCGTACATGCTGTTGAAATCAGTTATTTTCTATGAATGAAAATTGCTGTACATTTTTCTCTTTCATTTTCCTCATTGCGCTAATAGCACTTACCTCCTTGGAGTCAGTTCTCTTTAGCTAACTTTTCAGAAATGTGGTAAAGGTTTGCTCTGGTTGCTTCCAAATAAGTTCCAATTGAAACCATCATTCTGCTATGCGGACGTGACTTTTGAAGCTTTTATCTTTATTCTTTAGTAAAATTTATTATAGAATTTCAACAGAATATGAGAAATCATTAGGGAAAAAAGCAGATGTATTTCTAGGATGGGTTATAGGCTTGGTAATAACAAAAACTAAAATTCATTCCTTATTTATGTGCTCTATAATGTAAGTTGCAATTGATGGTCAAATTTCGAACTCATATGATTAATATTGTAAAAGTTTTTTGTTCGTTTTTTTTAATTTTTGTTAAACTTTATGAATTTTGATTATAATGTGAATTCCTGATGATGCTTATTACATATTACATCTTTCTGTTTATAGCCACATCTGTCTGTGACTGAAGTTAGTGCATCGCTACTCAAATAATCATTGTGGTGTTATACATTTTGTATTTATTGCATATAAAACCTTTTTAATGCATTTCCTTTCATCAACAAAACTTCATTCATGGATGACAAATTAAAAATTCATAAGTTATCATAAAGTAATCTTTCAGTTTTTTGCCTATACATTTATAGGAATTCTTTCAATCTTATTATTTTCTCAGATATTTTAAAATATCCCACGCTTCTAATTTTCTTTCTTCAAGTGAAAAATTCGGGAATGAAACAATTTCAATGACAAGTTTATTTGTAAGGCATTAATAATATTACAGTAGCATCATTTCCCCCATAATCTATTATCTATCATTCCAAACATTAATCGTTTACAGTCTTTTAATGTGTATTGTGATTGAGTAAAATGGTTCGATAAATGCCATTATTATCGACTGTGCGGACAAGTGTGTATATATAACATGCATCTATTATGCAATTTGTGCAAATCATGCATGCACATGAAGAGTTCATTTGTATGTTATAATTAAATCTTATTTATTGTTGAATATAATGGTTAGGTTAGTGTTAGTGCTAGGCCTAATCATGGTTCATGCTAGTATTAATGCCTTTCGTAGTTATTAAATTGTGGCAACATGTAAATTTGTTCCAGGAATGATCGATTCAACTTATCTATCTAGCTTACTTGATTCACAACTCATTCAGGCATACATTCCTCTCTATCTTTGCATAAATTTGTCCTTACTTTTTCTTTCTTATTTTGGTTGATATCTTTATAAGAGAAAGAGAAAGAGAGAGGGAGAGAGAGAGAGGAGACAAAAACATCAATACTTATTTGCTTTTCGTTTTCCCTCTCTCTCTCTCTCTCTCTTTCCCCTCCTCTTTCTTCGTGTTTCGTGTTTTGTCGTTTGTTCATACTCAGTTTTTCTCTTTCTTTTTAACTTTGAAACAAAATTTTAATCTTACTTCCTGTTAATATTAATACTTCCATTCTTCTACTTACGTCTATGATCTCTCTCCTAATATCCTCACTTTTTACTAATTTCGTCACATTTTTTTTTTTTGTTGAAAAAATTTTTTCTTTTTTTTTGTCAAACATGCAATAATTGCTTGCTTTCTACATAATTAATAGGTTCACCTGCTTCAGAAATATTAAATGTTCGAAGATTTTCAAAAATATGTTAAGAGATGGAAAGAAAGAAAGAGAAATCGACTTTAAAAAGAATTGTAGACTTCATGTGGAATTTTGTCCATTTTGGAATTTCCTGACAATTAACAGTGACGTAACCAATAGATCAATATTTCATTTCAAAAAAAAAAAATTTCTTTTTTTCAAAAATTATACTAAATGACATCGGTAAATTGTTTGCAATCTTCATGATGCACGATTAAACGTTGCAAATTGTCATCGATATAGTCAAACTGGACAAAGTATTGATAAAATTTTTTGCTAATAAGATATGTGATTCATTTGATCATATTTCGAAATTTCTTCATTTGAATGCCTTTTATGTGATTCCATTTCCTTGGTTGTTTTTACCTCGAAGCGTAGTTTGCCATTTCCAAAAAAAAAAAAAACTTCCTGAATTCATTGCTGTGTTAATTCAGCATTCTTCTAATACTTTAGCAATTTTATTTGTTCTTTTTGCAGTAAATTAACGAAAGCAAAATATTTTTTGCGGAACAAATTACATTTTTTCAAATCACATCATTAAATTTGCATAACAAAATTTTAAATTTCTACTTATCAAATAATTTATTGATTGTTTTGCTTTTGCATGGCTACTATTATCATGATAATATTGGAAAGGAGAAAAATGAGGTGGAAATAGCATACATAATAGAAACACAATGAACATATTGACTAATTATGGATAATAAGCATTTTCTCTTCTAAATTAATCGTAGAGATAATTTTTTGACATTGAAATTTAACGAGAAAAAGAAATTTTGATAAAATTTGAAAATTACATTTTTATAATTGGACCATTTTTTATTGATGTGAAAGGTGAGCGAATAATCGATCAGATTAGCGATGATTACGAATATTTAGATGAGAAGTTCAAATCATTCTTATCTTTTCTCCTCACATTTCATCGTAAAACTTTTTCCTTTTTTCTAATAGATGAATTTTGTCATTATCTATTTATGGGAGCTAAATTTTATTGATTGTTAAATAATATCTGTTAGAATTTAGATTTTTTTTTTCGTTTTAATTTCGGCTTGGATTTTTTTTTTGGAAGAAATTTTGCTAAGAAAAAAAAAAATCTCAATACACAATTCAGTGATATGAAAGGATGCAACAATTGAGCGATGTTAAAACTTGGTTGAATTTGTTTCTAGAACGTTGAAATAAGCTGAAATTTTTCGATTTTATGTTAATGAGCTGAAGTTAATTGAGCTAAGCCATATGATAACAAGGTCATTTAAGACGAATCATACCATATTTTCGATAATTGTCTTTCATTTTCACCCGTGAATAAGTATCAATCAATACTTTGTTTGCATCATTACATCAATTATTGCTCATCTTTATTTTATGCGTAAATTGGGTTAATGGGAATAATTAAATGTAAAATTTAAATGGTTTGTAAATTTCGACAATTTTTTTCGATCATATTATTTTATGGCTAGTTTATATAATTAATTTAAACAAAAATTTCATCTAAAAATAAACGAACGATTGCATTTGATATAATAGCAGTATTATTATCTTTATCAAATCAGTTTTAAGTGAATTTCTTTTCAGTTTTTTCCCTTTTAGATTTTTAATATTTTTTCGCTTTTTGGAAATAAAACTCAGTGATGTAAAGTCATATAAAATTTTTTCCTATTTTGATCAAATACATCAAGATATGAATGAAACCTAAATGAGAAATCTTTTTCGCTTTTTTATTAAATTTTTACAAATTTTATGAAATATCATAGAATAAAAATAGAAAAAAGCATATGCTTATGAAAGTATAAAGTATTTGCTTATCATTTCCTTCAATCATTAAACACACTGGTTTTTAAACCGATCTATAGCAAACGAATGATGACATCATTGTTTTCATCATTTCTATGATTATATGATGTATCTGGTATTTTCAGCAATATTAGTAATATAAATAATAACAGTAATATCCGCAAAATTATAATCCTTACTTTAATTTCATAAAAATCGAAGCAACTCATTTTAGCTGTTCATATATAGATATTTAAATATATATGTTTTTTTCTTTCCTTACTTATCTGTTCATTTACAGAATTTGATTTAGCGATTTCTCATTTCGATTTCATCTCATAGCTTTAAAACGTTAATAAAAAAAAAAAAGGATTTTTTTCCGCTTTACATTTTATTCTCATCTTTCTTTCTCTTTTTTTGAAAGAAGAAAAAGAAAAACTAGCAAAAATTCATCTATGCTTTTTGCAAAATCAATTTCATATTCTCTAATCCTAAAGTTTATGCAACTTTTTTTCTTGAAATATAAAATTTTAACTTTATTTCTTTCATATTTTGTTTAATATTTTCAAATTTTGTTTCCAATTTTATACTTTTTTATTATAATATTCATTTAGCACTTTGATAATTTCATAAGGTCGAAGAAGTGCTCGGAATTAGAGCATGTATGTATGAATTCAATTATGACTATTGTTCCATTAGTGTTTGTCGTTGTGTTTGAAGTAATAAAGAAAATTTACTCTTAAATAATTCTTTTCATTATCAATTTCAAATATTCTTTTCACTTTTATTTTAGCCATAAAATATTGAAAAGAAAATAATTTTTATTCGGTCAATTTTAAGCAAAACATCTTTCGATAGTATTTTTCCAATAATTTCCAACCATCCATTACCTTTTATTTTTCCTTTTTTGATTTGTTTTAAATATTTAAATAATAT